TACAGGACAACAAGGAACGCCCTTAACTGCTTACCTCCAAGGAGAGTTCACCCGGTGCCTGGGCAACGTATCTCTTAATAACGTGGGCAGCAGCAATAGCTGGGATATTAAGAGATGACTCCTCACGGACCAGCAGGGGCTTCCCGTTGTTCTCAGCCTGAAACAGAGAGCACAGGCCATGGTGAGGAGCTGAGGGCAAACGAGGAGGATTTCAGGCTGAGGAGCACGTCAGCAGAGAAAGCTGCAGGAAATGCACTCGGTCCTTATTATGGGCACACAAGAAGGAACAGCAAGGCTAAGAACATGCCCGCAGCAAGGAAAGAAAGCCTTTAAGGCAGCTTTTCAGTGACACTGTTAGAGCCGCAAGGATTCGCTCTCTCTTGAAAAGCAGGAGAGCACATCTGCAGCTCACTCTGCTGGCTCAAGTCAGGGAACAAAGACCAATCAGAGCTCCATACTCTACCTCCATCCGTGTCATGTCAGGCCCACAGCTGATCTCGCTGCACGCGACGCCCATCACAGCAGGCATGACAAGCTGGAACTGAAGAGAAACACGCTCATATTTTCTCTCTTCACACACCACAGTATTGAGAGACTACCGGAGAACTACCCTTGGCTATCCTCTGGCACAGGCAGGTGCTCTAGAAGCAACCACTCTGTTCACTCCGTTCAAATGGGACAGCCCATTAGGCAGCATTTGACCAAGCAGCTGTCCCTCTGCTAGCAGATGGGGACTGGCACAAAGCAGCAGATGCATTCACCCAGGGCGCTCTGACAGCGCAGCAGCAGGGCAGTGAGAGCAATCATTGCTGCAGGTGCATCTGCTCCCCGGCCACAGCTCCCAGCAGCCTCACCACCGGCACCTGCTGCAGCCCCGCACATCAAGGACATTTCCTTGATTGCATCTCTGCTGTGCTCCCTACAGCTGCCGGGCACACTCACACAGCCCAAGCGTGCCTGCTTGTGACCTTGGGTCACGCTGTGCAGCTCGGCACAAACTGGGCCTAGGACTCTTTGCCTAAGGGATCAGTTTCCTTCAGACCAGCAGGTCACAGCACCACACACAGCATCCTTCTGAGGACGGAGCTGCAGGGGAAGGGAAAAAACCCACATGGGACCAGCGTCCCATCAAAGCTGAGTGAGGCTGTGTTACCAAACATGGTGCGACACAGTGCTGGTCAACCACGTGGGGGGACAAAGTGTGGCACGTACCTGGCAGGAGATCAGAACAAGGTAGACAATTCCTTGAACTCGCAGCTGTTTCTTGTCACTTTGCTCTGTTCTTCCACGAGCGAAAGCTGCACCAAGGGAGCGGGTAGAGGAGAGAGAAGAACAGGTCTGTGAGCTTGCATAATGTAGCAAAGATGACAAGGGAAAAACCATGGGACAAATGCCATCTTTGTGGATCGCTTGGGAATGCAGGTACTGGCTGAAAGTTACGTCTGATGGACAAGAGTAAGCAGTATGAGCTGCTAGGAGCTCCACCAGCCAGCAGTTCTCAACAGCTCACTGCCCACCCCTGTATCTCACGCCCTGTCTCAGCTTACCTACAAGATGCTGCGCAAGACACAAGGGGTGAAAACGAAGGCACTCAGTCGCTGCACAAGGGCGACAAGCGAGCTACTCACACAGAGCTCAAGCGCTCCAATGAAGGGACGCAGCACGCACTGCTCCTCCCCTCATTCCAGCCGCTTGTGACATCACTAAGGGCCACCAGGCTGCTCCGCCATGACAACAGGGTGGGGAGGCAAGACCATGTCACAGGACCAGAAGATTCCAACATGGCACCCAACATTCGAGAATCAGCGGGCGGTTGGAATTCTACCTCAGCCCAATCCTGCAGAAGCTGCCATGCGGTTGTCATGACCACAGCGCAGGACCCAGCGCTTGCTCCTGCACAGCCTCGTACGACTGGCCTCAGCTGTGCAGCCTGGTACGACTGGCCTCAGGCCGTCCCTCTGCAGGGCCTTCCTGCCCTCGGGCAGATGGACATTGCTTCCCAACAGCGTACCTTGCAGCGCAGGGCCTATGTACAATCCACACTGGAGTCCTATAGATCTCTATCAAGCTATCTATACCTAGACACACAGTCTCGACTACCAT